AATGAGGTTTTAATTTCAACTTGATACTTCATAATCGAGAAGAAAGTATGAATCATCAGAGATGATTTTCAGGGGTTTCATATTGACTTTGTGTTAGGGAGGCAGTGTAGTGTAATGGGAGAGAGCCTGGGCTTTAGAGTTTAGCAGACTTAGGCTAGGTTCTGACTCTGCTCTTTCTGACTGGGTGACCTTGGGGAAATTCTTTATTCCCTCTGACATTGAATTTCTTTCTCTGCAAATTGGAATAATAAAATCTATCTGAGAGATACTGCTAGGATTAAATGGGGCAAAAATCCAAGTAAAGCATTTGACATAGTGCGTAGCCCATAATAAACATGTAATATGTGTTATTGTTGTCATTTTTAATGCTATTATCGGTATAATTTATGTAATTATCTTATTTCTTTTCTCCTAATTCCTGAGTGGGAAATAGTTGGAAAAGGCTTGAAAATATGTATATTAGCAAACCCTGACTATTGTCTTCTAATAGTAATCAAGCTCTTTTTATGGATTACATAGGCTAGAGTTGAATTTAGATGCTTGACATGTTTGGTTTCTGAACCAGATTGCAGTCACGTCACTACAGATTCATTTTCTCTTTAAATTGTAAAAATTAAAACAGTAGTACAGACTCATGTTTAAAACAGCAATCTGATCCAAGATTTTGTAGTCTGTAGAACTGATAATGTTTAATGTTCTCCATAAATTCATGGGGCTTAATAGGAAAGTACACAGAATTTTTAGAGCTTAAACAGACTTTAGAGATACTACTCTAATTCAAACCCTTCATCAAATGAGGAAACTCTGTAGGCAATTTGAATGAAGAATTCAGCTAAGATTCTTTATCTTTGTGTAAGAAGTAGATACAGCTTTGCAAAAGAAAGAGCTACCTAATAATGATTAAATTGTTATCATTGCTTCAAATTTTCATCTTATTGTTATGAATGACTATAAAATAAATTTTAGAGCTGCCATCAATGTACATACTGTTCTGTATATTTTCTCTTAATATTATTTTCCTTTATTTATTTTATTTTTTATTTTTATTTTATTTATTTATGTATTTATTTATTGAGACGGAGTTTCACTCCTGTTGCCCAGGCTGGAGTGCAATGGAGTGATCTCAGCTCACTGCAACCTCTGCCTCCCAGGTTCAAGCAATTCTCCTGCCTCAGCCTCCTGAGTAGCTGGGATTACAGGCATGTACCACCATGCCCGACTAATTTTGTAGTTTTAGTAGAGACGGGGTTTCTCCATGTTGGTCAGGCTGGTCTCCAGCTCCCAACCTCAGGTGATCTGCCCTCCTTGGCCTCCCAAAGTGCTGGTATTACAGGGATGAGCCATCACACCCGGCCTATTATCTTTTATTTTTAAATTGCTACATAAGGTTACCCTCTTTGAACTGCATGGTTTGCTTGCTCATTCCCATGTTGTTGGGCATTTGAGTTTTCCTCACTTTTTCCTAATATAAATAGAACTGCTATACACATCTTCTGTTTTTTTTTTTTAAGTAGAGACAGGGTCTTGCTTTGTTGTCCAGGCTCATCTTAATTCCTAGCCTCAAGCAGTCTTTCTGCTTGAGCCTTCCAGTGTCGGGATTACAGGCATGAGCCACCTCGCCTAGCCGCTATGCACGTCTTTTATTAGGTTACTCCCCTGCACTTCTCCCACCCCACTTAATTCTTACAGGAATATTCCCACAAATTAATCAAGATACAGTATTACAGTACATTCTAGTTACTGGTAATTGGGCTCAAACTCACTTCACAGGTAGCTTGATATTGTAAACTCAAATACTATAGATTTCACTAAATATAGGTCTTCTTAGGTGGCTGCTTTTTGTTAGGCAGAAAATCTTTTACCTGCATGGAATGAGTTACAAAGAGAGTTTTTTTTTTTTCAAGGTAAAGGAAGAAGGGAAGGCTTGAGAAGACCCTGGGGAAATTTGACTCCTTTATAATTTCTCCTGAGTCTGATTTTCAGAGTGTCATTTTGTTTTCTTACACAGTATATCAGGCATACTCCAATTTTTAAAAGTGGAGATATACCAATGTTATTGAAAAAGAAGGAAAATAGAGATAGAAATATTTAAAAGACAAATATATAGTTTTAGATTAACCATAAATAGGTTTCTTTCCATTAGTGCAGAGGTGAGCATGTTTTGGACTTAACATCACATAATTCTTTTGTTACAGAGATCTACTTTCATTTCTCAGACCTTAAATACAGATGGGAGTTTCAGTCTTTATAGCAGTCCTGCTGCCAGATACAATTCAGTCTTGATGGGAAGGAAGTCTTGTGGCCAGATGGGTGGCGATCCATGGTACAAGGCCATAAAGATAAAATTGGAAAGAAGAAAATTAAAACTATAAGGGCCTCAGGACAGGTCTTTGTAACAAAGATGAACCTGATTACAGGCAACTGCTTGTTCTGAGAGTAGGGGCTTCTTTAAAATTGTGAAGGAAATGCATCTCTTATTTTTATTTTTAGTTTAATTTATTTTTGGAATATATAATAAATTCACATAGATCAAAATTCAAATGAAAATTCTCCTTCCAACTGTGATCCCCAGCCACTCCTTTCCTCTCCCTAGAGCCAACCAGTATTACTGATTTTGTGATTATCCTTCCAGAAGTATTTTGTACCTTCTACAAGTGTGTGTGTGTATACATGAATATTGTACATGTAACCATACATGTGTATTTTCTTCTTATTTTAATGAGTGGTTACAGAATATAGACACTGTTATATACCTTGCTTTTTCACCTAACACCAAATCTTGGAAATTATTCTGTATTCCTAGAAAGAAAGCTTTTACATTCTTTGAAAATACTTTTAAAATGGCATGTGTCTGCAGTAGGTTAAAGTAATTTCTAATGCCTGGATTAGGCCTATTACATAATAGCACTCAAGAAATTGCTGTTGCCTGTAGCACTGCCCAAGAATACAAAAAAAAAAAAAAAAAAAAACCCGGGGGGGGGGCGGGAAGGAATTTGCCAGGTGCAGTAGCTCATGCCTGTAATCCCAGCAGTTTGGGAGGTGGAGGCAGGCAGATCACTTGAGATCAGGAGTTCGAGACCAGCTTGGCCCACATGGTGAAACCCTCTCTCTACTAAAAATACAAAAATAAAATAAAAGGAATGTTTGCTGAATAAATGAGGGAGAGAGTGAGTTACTTTATTAATTTAAGGAGCAAATAGGAAGAGACAGAAAGCTAAGAATTACCTGAAGCTCTAAGACTGTTGACCTAACCCTGACCTCAGGATGACATCATAAAATGCATATTTGTTTTAAGAGCATCAGAAATTTTCTTTAGGGCTTCATCTTGGGACATGTCAGTGGGAAGACATGCCTTGGAGGTTGAGGGAAGAATGGAGTTATGGGATGGCCTCCAGATTCCAAAAGTCAGGAGACATGGCCATGGATTCACTGTGATGGGGCTCTAGGACTTAGAACAAGTGAATTTAGGTCCTTTCTTCAAATGCAAAAAGAGGGGGTTGGAGTAAATTATTCCAATGGATCCTTTTAGCTCTTAAATTGTGTTGTTTATAATTTTGAAATTTCCTGTCTGATCACCAATTAGGACATTTGTTATGCTGAAATTGTATTTGTAAATACATTAAAAATGAGGTATCCTTTCTTTTTTATATTTATTTATGAGACAGGGTCTCACTCTGTTGCCCAGGCTGGAGTGCAGTGGCACAATTATTGCTCATTGCAGCCTTAAACTCCTGGGCTCAAGCAGTGCTCCTGCCCCAGCCTCCTGAGTCACCTGGACTACAGGGCATGAACCACTGCACCAGGCTCTTTTTTTTTTTTTTTTTGAGACGGAGTCTTGCTCTGTTGTCCGCTGGAGTGTGACGATGTATTCTCTGCTCACTGTAAATTCCTCCTCCTGGGTTCAAGCATTTCTCCTGCCTCAGCCTCCTGAGTAGCTGCGATTACAGGTGTCTGCCACCACACCTGGCTAATTTTGTATTTTTAGTAGAGATGGGGTTTCAACATGTTGGCCAGGCTGGTCTCGAACTCCTTACCTCAAGTGTCCATCTGCCTCATCCTCCCAAAGTGCTGGGATTACAGGTGTGAGCCACCACGCCCAGCCCTTATCCTTTCTTTTTTTTTGAGACAGAGTTTCACTCTTTTTGCCCAGGCTGGAGTGCAATGGTGCAATCTCACCTCACTACAACCTCCACCTCCCAGGTACAAGTGATTCTCCTGCCGCAACCTCCTGAGTCGCTGGAATTACAGGCACCCACCACCACCCCCAGCTAACTTTTTGTATTTTTAGTAGAGACAGGGTTTCAGTATATTGGCCAGGCTGGTCTTGAACTCCTGACCTCATGAGCCACCACACCAGGCCCTTTCTTTAAGATAATAAAAAAACCACACAGGTTATTTGTTAAGATAACAAAATTAGGCTGGGCGCGGTGGCTTATGCCTGTAATCCCAGCACTTTGGGAGGCCAAGGTGGGCAGATTATGAGGTCAGGAGATTGAGACCACGGTAAACCCCGTCTCTACTAAAAATACAAAAAATTAGCTGGGCCCAATGGCGGGGGCCTGTAATCCCAGCTACTTGGGAGGCTGAGGCAGGAGAATGGCATGAACCTGGGAGGCAGAGCTTGCAGTGAGCCAAGATCATGCCACTGCACTCCAGCCCGGGCGACAGAGTGAGACTCCGTCTCAAAAAAAAAAAAGATAACAAAATTAGAAAGTTGTTTGCCATGATTATATTTCTCACAAAAATTGGCTAAACTATTAAGATAGAAGCAGATTTACAGGGGTAGGACTAAATATCCCACATTTTGACACATTTTGAGAGAATTAAAGCTCTGTAGTTTCAACCTTTTATCAAAATATAATATTAAAGTTATTCACTAGTAAATATAATTGTCATAAATGATAATGTATATGTTTAACAATATTTAATTATCAAGATAGTAGCTAATAGTAAATATAATTCATAGTGAAATAAATCTTTCTTTTTCCTCTTTATTTTAGTTAAGTATGAGAGAGAAGCTAGTAAATACTGGGACACATTTTACAAGATTCATAAGAATAAGTTTTTCAAGGATCGTAATTGGCTGTTGAGGGAATTTCCTGAAATTCTTCCAGTTGATCAAAAACCTGAAGAGAAGGCGAGGGAATCATCATGGGATCTTGTAAATACGAGTGCTACAAATTGTTTCTCAAGAATGCACTGTCCTACTATGCCTGAAGAAAAAAATCATTATGAGAAAAGTTCTGGCTCTTCAGAAGGTCAAAGCGAAACAGAATCTGATTTTTCCAACCTAGACTCTGAAAAACACAAAAAAGGACCTATGAAGACTGGATTGTTTCCCGGTAGCAATGCCACTTTCAGGATACTAGAGGTACTGTGCTTAAGGGACAAAAATGGGAGGTGACAAATAATTTGAAAATGTACATTCTGTATTACTTTATTAATAATGCAGATTTTTTTTCGGTAGAGAACTATCAAATCTAAATAAGCATTCAGTATACTTTGGTGCATAAATAATATTTAAGGGACTCATGTCTTTTAATCAGTCATGTTTTAAGCTTGTGGTTTAAATTTGGTTTTGTTGTGCTTTTTTTAAAAAAAAAAAATTGTCTGTTTTCATTTTAATCTGAGGTTAGTTTTAAGTACCAATGAAGTTTTGGCCTTAATTTTTACTCTCTTTGTTATTACCCCTTTTTAGGCGAAATAGAAATAAGTGAGATATATAATTTGCTATAATCTGGTGTAACCTTGGTTTTCTATTTTTACAACTAAACCCTGTCTTTCTGATTTTAAAGGCAATGTATACTGATTAGAGAAAATTTGCTAACGAGGAGATAAATTATCACCAATCCTACGAACAAAGGATTTAACCACCGTTAACATTTTAGTGACCTTTTTCTTCTTCCTTTTTTTTTTTTTGGTTTTTTTTTTTTTTTTTTTTTGAGACAAGAGTTTTGTTCTTGTTGCCCGGGCTGGAGTGCAGTGGTGCCATCTTAGCTCACTGCAGCTTCTGCCTCCTGGGTTCAAGCGATTCTCCTGCCTCAGCTTCCCGAGTCTGGGATTACAGGCACCTGCCACCACACCCAGCTAATTTTTTTGTATTTTTAGTAGAGACAGGGTTTCGCCATGTTGGCCAGGCTGGTTTTGAACTCCTGACCTCAGGTGATCCGCCCGCCTTAGACTCCCAAAGTGCTGGGATTACCGGCAGGAGCCGTGGCGCCCGGCTGACCTTTTTCTTCTTTTGTTTATTACTGTACATGTATTCTAAGTTTTGTTTGTTTCTATTTAACATGGTATCATAAGCAGTTTTCACTATCTTTAAAAATTCTCTATATTTTCATGGCTAGAAAATATTTTACTATGTGGAGTACTATAATTTTACCTATCTATTTTCACACTACTGGACATTTTAGTAGTTTTCAGGTTTTCTGAAGCAAACATCTTTGGGTATAGACTTTAGCTGCATTTTCTTTTATTGTTTTAGCTTAGATTTTCTAGTTCATAATTTATGAAGTTTTTAATACTTTTAAAACATATTGCCCACTTGCTTTCTAAGAAGTTGTACTAATACCATTCCATGATGGTGTATGTCTGTGTCATCACACCCTTATTGATTGAAATATTATTTTAATGTTTCCCACTTTGTTAGACAAAAATTGTACCTTGTTTTAATATGCATTTCTTTGATTACTAAGTAGGTCATCTAATTCAAATGTTTAGAATCATTTGTACTTCTTTTGCGTTTTGTCCATTTTTTTTCTCTGCTTATCCTTTTCTTTCTAATGAGCCCTGCCCTTTACCATATATATTGCAGTTTTCTTCACAGAGTATTGGTTATTTTTTAATTTGGTTTATTTTGGGTTTTGGTGTGTAAAAATTTTAAACGTTTCCATAGTCAGATTTCTTAATGTTTATTCCTGTGATTTATTTCATTGCTTTTGAGTTTAGCAAACTCTACTGAACCCAGAGATCCAATGAGTCTAATTGTTTTTTTGTTTAATAGAAAATCTGACATTGGTGACAAAAATTTAACCTTGCTTTTTTGATATTTGCTTGTTCTTTTGATTTTAGGTTGGTTGTGGAGCTGGAAATAGTGTGTTTCCAATTTTGAACACTTTGCAGTGAGTTTTAAGAGTTTTCTTTCTACAGAATTTTACATATTTATGGAATGTTGAGAAATTCTGGGAAAATATTGTCATGTGTGTGCCAGTAGTGTTTCTAATTCTTATATGAACAATGGCTCAAGCAAATTTCAAAAGAAATGTCTTAATCTCAATGTCTACTTTCATGTGAACTGGGATTACTCTGAACATAGTGTTTCATAGCCATGGGTTGTCCATCATTGTTTTGAAGTAATTTTTTAAGCTTATGTGTATATGTATGAGAGAATAAGAAAAGAGGAAGCGGACCAGGCATGGTGGCTCATGCCTGTAATCCCAGCACTTTGGGTGACTGAGGTGGGTGGATCACTTGATGTCCAGAGTTCGAGACCAGCCTGACCAACACAGTGAAACCCCACCTCTACTAAAAATACAAAATTAGCCAGGCATGGTGGCACATGCCTGTAATCCCAGCTGTTTGGGAGGGTGAGGCAGGAGAATCTGCTTGAACCAGGAGGCGGAGGTTGCAGTGACCCAACTGCATCATTGCACTCCAGTCTGGGCAACAAGCGCAAAACTCAGTCTCAAAAAAAAAAAAAAAAAAGAGGAAGTGAGTTCCTCCTTCTACTGAGCTGTGAACTGCTAAACTTCAGAGCTTATTTACTCTTCCTGGATACTTAGATGTCATTTTACACATAGAGAATTGAATGTAAAGCTTACAACTTAACCCTCATTTTGTCATCCCTTCTGAAGCAACACCCTATGTAAGATGTTTGCATGCCAAATCATTGTGTCTAGGCTTAAAATTATTTGGAGGTAGCAGCAACTCATCCTAAGACTCAAAAAAGCAGCCGGGCGCAGTGACTCGTGCCTGTAATCCCAGTACTTTGGGAGGCCGAGGCAGGCAAATCAAAAGGTCAGGAGTTCAAGACCAGCCTGGCCAATATGGTAAAACCCCATCTCTACTAAAAATACAAAAAAATTAGCTGGGTGTGGTGGCGGGCACCTGTAATCCCAGCTACTCGGGAAGCTGAGACAGGAGAATCACTTGAACCCATGAGGTGGAGCTTGCAGTGAGCTGAGATGCACCACTGTACTCCAGCCCAGGCAACAGTGCAAGACTTCGTCTCACAAAAAAAGAAAAAAAGCAGAGTTTGACTACCAGGGACAGAGATTTGCTCCAGGCTCACCCTTCCTGTTCAGCATTTCACCTGTGTCTTTTACTCTTTCCATGATGAACACACAAAACTCTTCAAACACCTTTTATCTATGGCCAGTCTGCCAAGCTCTGTTCTTTTTTAAGTTTACACATTATTTTTCCATTATAAAATCAGCATTAGCAAGTTGCAGAACATTTCCATTAGAGGGAAAGGGGAGGGAGGGAATCACTCATCATCCCCATCATCCTAACATAGCCAATGACGAAATTTTTGTTTTAATTCCTTTCAGTCTTTATGCATATTTTTAAATCATGTGATCTTTTAAATTTTTTATTATGAAAATGTAAAAGCATCTGGGGCCTGGTGCGGTGGCTCATACCTGTAATCCCAACACTTTGGGAGGACAAGGCAGGCAGATCACTTGAGGTCAGGAGTTCAAGACCAGCCTGGCCAACATGATGAAACCCTGTCTCTACTAAAATTACAAAAATTAGCTGAGTATGGTGGTGCACACTTGTAATCCTAGCTACTCAGGAGGCTGACACAGGAGAATCGCTTGAACCCGGAAGGCAGAGGTTGCAGTGAGCTGAGATCACACCACTGCACTTCAGCCTGGGTGACAGAGCAAGAGACTCTGTCTCAAAAAAAATTTTTTTAATAAAAAATAAAGCATTCAGAAAAGTGAAGAGTACAGTGAATTTCCATATGCCCACCACCTCATTTCAACAATTACCAATATAATGCCAACATCATGACACTTTGTCTTTGATTATTTGGGATATAGCTCCCAAAACTTAGTATACTCTCTAATATTGTTGTAAATCTAACATAATGAATAGCGAGTAATTCCCTACTATTATTTAATAACCAGCTAATGTGGCCAGGCATGTGTGATGCTGGTAAATTTACAGTTCTGAATGTCCTTTCTCTTTGTGTTTTTGTTAGTTTTGTTTTCCTTTTTCTAGTTTCTGGGCTGAAATTTCCAATTTCCTTATGTCACACAGCCATATTCCTTTACCCCAGTGATCGCTGAGCTTATAATACACATAAATACACTACAATGGCAGTTGATTGTGTGTTACTTTATGACTGATCTCAAGGTATTATTTAGCATGTCATTTCTTTATGCCTTGTCTCTCCAACCACTTTTTATATTCCTTAAGGCAGAGGGCATATTTTATCCTAATCTGATTTCCCAGGTTGCCTAACAGTACAGCATAGTTAGAGCTCAATACATATTACCTGATTAATATCTCTGATTCCCCCACTTGCTAGTTATATTTTTCACCTCTCTGCTTCTCCCTTCAGCTTGTAATTGCAAGCTCTTGGTTCCTCACTCCCTAACTCTTTCTTCTTGGCTGTGCCTTTCTTTCCCTCTTACCCGTGTTTTAGAAATTACTGTAGCTCAATAACCTGAGATAATTAATTCATCTTTAAAAGGCAACCAGTGATTAGCCTTCCAAAGGAATGATTAGACTTTTTTTTTTTCTGCTTAAGAAATTATGTTTTACTACTTTTAGAGAGTATAGGATTAATGTTTTACATTTTCAGAATATTTTACCATAATTAGACCTGTAAAATGAAGAGGTCGTATCATTCTCCAAGGATCATTTAATTCATAAACCCCTGCCAAGAGAGTCCTTGGTGGTGTGGTGGTAGTAGTGATATTTACACCTGTTTGCTGGGAGAAGGGCCAAGGTAGTCAGCTGATTTTACAGAAAGGTTCTGGGAAGTCATTGAGTGGTCACAAGACATCAACCTGGGCTGCTGATGAAGTGGGAATTCCATCTCAGAGGTCATGCTGCCACCCTGGCAGGACACATGGCAAATGGCACATGCTTTCCTTTAGCTCCTAGACTGTTCTATATCTTATGGGTATTCGGTTTTTTACTGCCCACAGGTAGACTGCAGACCTTTTATAATGAGCTAGACATACCAGTGTCCAGAAAAACATTTTGAGCTATATGGAAGTTTTTTGGGTTTTGTTTTGTTTTGTTTTGTTTTAGAGGACTATGTTAGTGTTTAAGTTCCTGGAAGGCAAAAGCAATCTCCTTTAATAATAATAGTGATGATAATAATAGCAACAACAATTATAATAATGACTAACATTTATTGAGTGCTTACTCTGAGTCAGACACCTTTCTGGAAACTTTAGCTATAAGAATCCATTCACTTCAAACAACCATCTTAGATGCCATGTTTATCTCTTTTTTAAAGATGAGGGAACTGAATTAAAGAAGAGATTAAGCAACTAGCCCAAGGTTACGCAACTAAGTAGTAAAGCTGAGAATCAAACCTTAGGCAGTCTGGTTCCAAAGCCCTTGCCCTTAACCTTTAGCCACATAGTGCTACATCTATCTGAGTGTTTGCTGAGAACATTTCAAATATATTTCAAACCACCCAGCAAATTACAAGTCACAATTATATGGATTTCATAGGAAACAACAGGGGAACATGTAGAAGTAAAGTGCTATTTTTATGTTTGACAGATGAGAAAAGACCAAGCAGTACAAGTTTTAACTTTGATTCAGTACTGGTTAGCTTTTCATAAACAAATCCTATTCATCATACTTTAACTTATTTGGATAGATCTTAAATTGAATGCAAATCCCTAGTGCCATAGAATGAGTGAATTATATGTTAACATAGTTATTCATCAATGAGTTGCCTTTAAGAATATAATCTGAGGCCAGGCACAGTGGCTCACTCCTGTAATCCCAGCACTTTGGGAGTCCGAGGTGGGTGGATCACCTGAGGTCAGGAGTTTAAGACCAGCCTTACCAACATGGTGAAACCCCATCTCTACTAAAAATACAAAATTAGCCGGCTGTGGTAGTGCATGCCTGTAATCTCAGCTACTTGGGAGGCGAGGCAGGAGAATTGCTTGAACCCAGGAGGCAGAGACTGCAGTGAGCCGAGATCGTGCCATTGCACTCCAGCCTGGGCAACAAGAGCGAAACTTCATCTCAAAAATAAAAAAAAGAGTATAACCTGAACCTGGGTCAGATTTTGCTAAATGCATATTTGGGCTTGTATTCCATATTTATTTAGAAGTTCGCCTTGCTTGGAATGCTTCTTGAATCAGATTAGAAGTCTTAATGATATGCTTCAAGGCCCACCTTTTTATCCTGCCATATACCAGTTTGGGCTCTCAGGATTAGTGCTGCTTCTCATCCCTGCATGTGACTCCCACTTCTAAACTCTTCAACCATTTCCCCTTCTTGTCACTTAACGATATTAACCTCCTCCTTCAGAAATTTTAAGACTTATACCTCAGGGTGCTGGCCCTCTCCACACCCCTGTAGAAGTTGTATAAAACCAATTATGTTGCCAACTAGACTAGAAAACCCATGAGAGCCAGGACCATCCTTACTGTTTAATGACATGTTGAACTCTTTCTGTAGTTCAGACATGGTACGAAGCAACATGATGCAATGATTATTTGATACCAGCATACACAGTATAATCAGGAAGAGTACTGGCCTACAAATTTCAGAGTATATGACTGCCTTAGTAACCATGAACCAGCCATCATTACTGAATTTCAAATAAAGGCCAAACAGAACATATTTAAGTTAAGAAGAGGCCAATTAAAAATCATATCGCCTATTGGCCAGGCACAGTGGCATGCATCTGTAGTTCAGCTACTCAGGAGGATGAGGCGGGAGAATCACTTGAGCCCCAGAGGTCGAGGCTGCAGTGACCTGTGATTGTGCCACTGTGCTCCAGCCTGGGTGACAGAGCGAGACCCTGTCTCAAAAAAAAGCTGAGGGGTGGGGGTGGAAATACTTATTAATGAGTCAGACCTACAGTTTCCTTTCTTCTCTAGTTTGAGCATTTCTGGACTCCAGATATAAATATTTCTTCTGGCCGAGCACAGGGGCTCACACCTATGATCCTGACAGTTTGAGAGACTGAGGCAGGAGGATCATTTGAGAACACTAGCTCAAGACCAGACTGGGCAACATGGTGAGACCCCATCTCTACAAAAAAAGCTAAAATTAGCTGGGCATGGTAAGGCACATCTGTAGTCCTAGCTACTCAGGAGGCTGAGGAAGGACGATCGCTAGAGCCCAAGAGCTCAAGGTTATAGTGAGCTATGGTCGCGTTACTGTACTCCAACCTGGGGAACAGAGCAAGACCTTGTCTCCAAAAAAATAAATAAATATTTCTTCCATCTTCATAGGAACTCTCCAGAGTCCTTTCTGTATTGTTGTGATTTTGCTTCTGGAGCTGTGGAGCTCATAAAGGTATGCTACTCCCAGGAATCATACCAACTGTTGCCTAAGGTATTACCCCAGAAAAATAAAAGTTGTTTTGATTTTAAGATCACTAGAGGTGGGGCGTGGTGGCTCACGCCTGTAATCCCAGCACTTTGGGAGGCCGAGGTGGGCAGATCACCTGAGGTCAGGAGTTCGAGACCAGGCTGGCCAACATGGTGAAACCCATCTCTACTAAAAATAAAAAAATTAGCTGGGTGTGGTGGCACGTGCCTGTAGTCACAGCTATTCGGGAGGCTGAGGCAGGAGAATGGCTTGAACCCGGGAGGCAGAGGTTGCAGTGAGCCAAGATCACACCATTGCACTCCAGCCTGGTGACAGAGAAAGAATCTGTCTCAAAAAAAAAAAAAAAGAAAGAAAGAAAGGAAGGCCAACAGCACATAAGAAATGACCAGACAGGGTACTGACCTACAAAATTTAGAATGTATACCTGCCCATGAATAATTGTAGTCCAAGCAGAACCTCTTTAAGTTCAGAAACAGCAACCCAGAGCAGACCTCTAATAATACTATCTACTGCTAACTCAGAATACCCTCCTCTACTTTTAAAGTTAAAAAGGGATTGCGAAGGATATTTGTTATCAAGGCCAAGAGCTAGCCTTAATTTTTTTAGGGCAGCTGGAAATAAGCTAACAATACTGAATTGGAAAAAAGTGTTCAGATTGACAGAGGAAAGGCTTTTGGGAGAAAAGGTTAAAATTTTGACCTTTTTATTAAAAAAAAAAAAAAAAAAAAAAATTCCCGGAAGTCTACTAAGTCCTCTTTTTGCTTTCTGTTCCTTTATCATGACAGTCACACTCGTCCTACAGAGCAGCCCAGTGTTTTGCCTTTGTTCATGATGTATGTGATGATGGCTTACCTTACCCTTTTCCAGATGGGATCCTGGATGTCATTCTCCTTGTCTTTGTGCTCTCTTCTATTCATCCTGACAGGTAAATGAAGACGAAAGGGCAAAGCAGATGTGTAAAGCTCCTTTATCAGTAGTGGTTTTCAGAACTATCAAAGCAAAAATGACAATTTTTGAATTTATTATTTAGTGAGCGACATTATGTATAATATGCAGCCTTTTAATGGCAGTTTTTCCTTTCTTCGTACTTTTAGACAGAAACTGGTCAGACTACTTCATTAATGAGCTTTCTGTCACTGTCAGAATGAAGTGAGCATATTCTGGCAAGACACATACCTATTAAAAGTGACAGTGCTTCAAGGAAATTACAAATTCAGAACAATCTAATAGACTCCCAAGAGGGAAATTGTACTTGGCGATTAGAAACAAACATCTTTAGTGTAGTGTCTTCCTGAATGTTCATGAAGAGGTGGGCTTGGGATCTGTTTGGCTTCACACAGGCCTGTTGATGGGCTTTAAAAATTTTGTTCTAAAGAAGCACACTAGGGAATTAGGAGTTATTAAGATTTGCCAGATTATCCTTGGACCTTTATGATCTAAGGTGAGCCTGATGCCATCATTTAAATATTTATGACTTAAAGTTTCATACAGTGTTTTAAAACTATAAACATAGCTTTTCTCCAGAGAGAAAACATAAAGAGATATTACCAGCAATTAAAATGATTACCTTTCTTAAATCTTGCCACCTTCTATGTATTAAAGGGTAAGTATCAGGTCTGTGCTTTCATAAGGTTTCTTAACATTGGGTTCTCATAGTTTCCTGGTAGGAGATACAGACTTGGCGTCAACCACTTTTTGTTTGATGAGTATGATGACCTTTTTCCATAGAAACTGAGTCACCATGTGCTTATTTCTTTGCAATTAAAAGGCCACTAGGACCTTTATAATTCTTTTACTTCCCATTGAGAAGTGAGCACTTTGATTACTTGTAGAAGAATAAATTCCATTTCCAAATAAATCTGAAATAAGATACATTAGCACCTAGTGAGGTATGTCAGGTTTTATGAAGCTACTGTTTCCTCCCAGTTTCTATAACCTATTTCTTTCTGCTAATCTGTTTAGACTGTAGGCATTGTTCAGGTACTAATAGAAAGATGTCATCTATGTGTTTGGTATCCTCACTATGAACAGTTAAAAGGATGGAGGAGGCGGATAGAGAACAAGATTTCCCATTTGATACCTATAATAAGAAACATTTAAATTCTACACATAGCCACAAAAAGACTATTTGAAATTAGTTCAGATAATGTATTTTCTCGTGAGTTGAATTGAATGTTAAAGAGAAGAGAAAGGCCGGGTGCGGTGGTTCACGCCTATAATCCCAGCACTTTGGGAGGCTGAGGTGGGTGGATCACCTGAGGTCAGGAGTTCCAGACCAGCCTGGTCAACATGGTGAAACATCGTCTTTACTGAAAAATATAAAAATTAGCCAGGCATGGTGGTGGGTGCCTGTAATCCCAGCTACTTGGGAGGCTGAGGCAGGAGAATTGCTTGAACTCAGGAGGTGGAGGTTGCAGTGAGCTGAGACTGTGCCATTGCACTTTAGTCTAGGCAACGAGAGTGAAACTCTGTCTCAAAAAAAATAAGAGAAGAGAAAGCAGATGCCTTGAGAAGATTGTGTCTATCATATAGCATTTCATTCTATTTATTATAAAATGAATTTAGATGTATCATGACAGTGACCACTGTCTTACCTACATAGAAATGATCTAAAAATAAGGTGAATGAATAGAAAAGGGACAATAGTAAATTTTTTTAAAAGGCAAGGCAGGCCGGGCCGAGCACGGTGGCTCACCCCTGTAATCCCAGCACTCTGGGAGGCCGAGGTGAGCGGATCACGAGGTCAGGAGATGGAGACCATCCTGGCTACCACAGTGAAACCCCATCTCTACTAAAAATATTTTTAAAAATTAGCCGGGCATGGTGGTGGGTGCCTGTAGTCCCAGCTACTCGGGAGACTGAGGCAGGAGAATGGCATGAACTTGGGAGGCAGAGGTTGCAGTGAACCAAGATGACGCCACTGCACACTGGCCCGGGCAACAGAGCAAGACTCCATCTCAAAAAAAAAAAAAAAAAAAAGGCAAGGCAGGCCAGGAGCAGTGGCTCACACTTGTAATCCCAACACTTTGGGAGGCCGAGGCAGGAGGATCACTTGAGGCCAGGAGTCCAAGACCAGCCTGGCCAACATGGTGAAACCCCCATCTCTACTAAAAATAGAAAAATTAGCTGGTTGTGGTGGCACAGGCCTGTGATCCTAGCTACTGGGGAGGCTGAGGCAGAAGGGTCGTTTGAACCCAGGAGGTGAAGGTTGCAGTGTGCCAAGATTGCACCACTGCACTCCAGCCTGGGCGACAAAGCAAGACCTTGTCTCAAAAAAAAAATAAAAGGCTGGGTGCTGTGGCTCACGCCTGTAATCCCAGTACTTTGGGAGGCCAAGGCAGGTGGATCACCTGAGGTCAGGAATTCAAGACCAGCCTGGCCAACATAGTGAAACCCCGTCTCTACCAAAAATACAAAATTAGCTGGGTGTGGTGGCACACACCTGTAGTCCCAGCTACTCGCGAGGCTGAGACAGGAGAATTGCTTGAAACTGGAAGGCAGAGACTGCACTGTGCAGAGATCGTGCCACTGTATTCCAGCCTTGGGCAAGACAGAGTGAGACTCCATCTCAAAAAAATAAATAAATAATAAAAATACAAAAATTAGCTGGGCGTGGTACCACACGCCTTTGATCCCAGCTACTCTGGAGGCTGAGGCAGGAGAATCGCTGGAACCTGGGAGATGGAGGTTGCAGTGAGCCAAGATCACGCCACTGTACTCTAGCCTGGGTGACAGTGAGTAAGACCCTGTCTCAAAAAAAGAAAAAACTAAAGGCAAGGCAATGTCTATAGTGTCACTTAGGACTATAGTAGTAGATTCAACCCCAGAAAAGTTCTAGAAAAGTAGCATCTTGGTAGCTTGGAAAATTCAGGCACAAGTAAGTGGCAAGCAATTTGGCTAGATCCTGAGTCTGGAGGACCCAGCTTAAATGGGAATAAATTGTAGGTGGCTACAAAAGAAGAGTGAGTTGTCCTTCTTGTCACTGAAATGGAAGTACACAATATTACAGAGCTGGCCGGGCGCGGTGGTTCACACCTCTAATCCCAGCACTTTGGGAGGCTGAGGCAGGCAGATCACAAGGTCAGGAGATCGAGACCATCCTAGCTAACACGGTGAAACCCTGTCTCTACTAAAGATACAAAAAATTAGCCGGGCGTGGTGGCAGGCGCCTGTAATCCCAGCTACTTGGGAGGCTGAGGCAGGAGAATGGCGTGAACCCAGGAGGCGGAGCTTGCAGTGAGCCGAGATCACAGCCACTGCACTCCAGCCTGGGCGACAGAGTGAGACTCTGTCTCAAAAAAAATAGATAAAATAAAATAAAATAAAATATTACAGAGCCAAGCATAAAGCAGGCAGTCTATACATTTTTTGTCTCTTCTTTTCCTTTTCCTCTCCCTCTATCTAGAGATAAGTGAAGACAGCAGAGTTGGCCAAGTAGGGTGAAGAAAGAAAAGGGGCTTCATACCATTCCTGTCTTGTCCATCTCACCCCCAGCCCACCCCCACCTGCAGTTCTCAGGAATTGTCTCGGGAGCTGCACTATGAACCAAGATAAGATTATCAAGAAAAGTAGCTCCCCTTCCTTACCTTTATCCTCAACCCCAGACATTAAAGGATAGCTGAGAGGAAAGGATGTGCAGGAGGAGGCGGCTACATTTTAAAGTGTTTGTTTATTTTTCTGCATTTTAGTTTCATGCTTGTTTTACTAACAGTTACAGAAAGATTTTGCTATGTACATAAAATATTTATCCTGAAAGTGAATATTTTAAGGTTTAGATATGATTTTCCTTCATTGGCAAAGCCTACGATATAAGCACAGTGTGAAAATAACCTGTAATAAAATAAACAAAAAATACGTTTCTTTTTTTCTTTTATGTCCTTATGTTCTAGTTCTTTAAAAAGGGCTTTTCACCTAATCATGCCACCTCCTTCTGTCCTACTTCTCTCTTATTTTATAGTTGCTTTCATTTTCTCAGTATCTGCTTCCTTCGTAATATGACATAATCTGAGTTTTACCTCACTATTCCACTGAACAATGTTTTAATTGAAAGGAATTTACAGATTATCTGATTCAAACTTTTCATTTTTTTCAAATAAGAAAACCTCAGCAGCTTTAAGTAGCTTAGATAAGGCAGAGACAACAAGGACTTAGCACACAAGCTTGCATTTACCATTCTCTGCCCATGGCAGACATTGATAATCGATTTTGTACTCTGTAACTCCCAATGAGCTTTATGAGTCCTTCTCAGAGCTCTGTAGGCAGCCAATGCCGTCATGCAGAATGAATATGAGATCTGAAATCTATGCCATCCCTGGCCCATAATCACACATAAAGCCATGAACACTTAGCGAAAAACACTAAATCAAGAGCAGCTATAAGGGATTACATTTGACTGAAAGCCAGAGAAGTAGAATAAACAGTAAAGGAGAAAAGCAAAGGCTCCCTGATGTTGAACTAGGCTTGGAATGTGAATAAAATTTAAATAGGCAGACAGTAAGGAGGAGAGAATTCTTTGAGGAAAAACCATGTGAGCAAAGGCAGAGGCTGCTCAGGGCCAAGCATGACAGTTTGGCTAGGGGAGCTGCTTCAGATTGGAAAACTGTTGGAAAGATTAATTGGGGTCAGTAGTAGGAGATCTTAAGAGCTCAACTAAGATACTAAAATTTTATCCTATGGATTAAAATCATGAAAGTTTTTGAGCAAGGAGATGATTTGACAAAATTATTTTAAACAGAATTATTCATCGATAACATGCAGGAAGGATTGACAGGGAGAATAATACAGCGTGTTAGGAAGCAGATTTGTTTCCAGGCCTCAGGATATAGAGGTTGGTACTAAGGGAGTACCAATGGGAAACAAAAAAGACAGGAAATATCAAAGATGTCATTAAAAATAAAAATTAAAGAGGACATAGAATTTTATGGCCAATGGAGAGGATAGTGGAAGAAAAATAATTTCTCTTCATGAGGTGAATGATGGTGGTACCTCTGAACTAAATAAAGAAGTCAAAAGGAGAATGAGCTCATTTTGGAGGAAAGATATTCCCTCTTTAGATATGTACAACTTGGGATGGCTTTGTCATATTTTTTATCTTGCAAGACAAATGAAGCACACTCAGTTTTTATCTGTCTCAGAACTACCTTCATTTTCTGTAAGTACCAGTAAACATCTGTGGTTTTGAAGTTTAGCTTTGACATCACACATCAAGCTCTGTGAAGTTACCACTCTGGCCATTTGGGTGATTTCTTGATACTCTAGGACTTTTGAATCTAGTCATTTAGCAAGTTGGTATTCTTTTTTCCTTCTTTACAAAATATTTTTATTTTTGTTAGCCTTACGTTTATGGTTTAGATTTCTTTGGCCTTATCAAGCTTTTCTTATTTTGTCTTCAACAAAGTTAAAGCTAGCATATAAAACAAGATTTCCACAAACTGGGTATCTTTTTAATACTTTGTTTTCAAAGGATGCAAGGTGTTGTAAACCGATTGTCCAAGTTACTGAAACCTGGAGGAATGCTGTTATTTCGAGACTATGGAAGATATGATAAGACTCAGCTTCGTTTTAAAAAGGGTAATAGTATATTCAGTTTGAGGTTATTTTTAAGGGTTCTAAAGATGCCTTGATTATATTTCATATCAAAGTATTTAGTTGTTTCTTTTTTTTTAAGGAATACCCTTAAAAGTCTCTCTTTTCACAATTTTTTTCAGGACGTTGTTTATCTGAAAATTTTTATGTTCGAGGAGATGGTACCAGAGCATATTTCTTTACAAAAGGTATGCTAATCTACAAGAGGAAATGATTGGTCATAATTGTTCTTGTTAGTTATTATCTCATAGATTATAGCTCAGAAGCTATAAAACTGAGGCTTCTATCATTGATTAAGCATTAGATGTCTTCATACTTTGATGCTTATAACTGGTCTACATAAAAGGTTGAAAATGGCCGTTTATTTTTTAATCTTTTTCCAGTTGAAACTGCTTTAAAGAGGCTCTTGTTTTACCCTCATACCCAGATGAAGGTGAAGGCTGTTCCATTTTGGAGATATTGTTAGCCTAGATATGAAAAAAATTGATGATATACCACAGCCAGAGGAGGACATTTGATAAGTTTATAGAAAATTACTTATCTTGGCCCATCACAGGGGTGCTCACCTGTAATTCCATCACTTTGGGAGGTGAAAGTGAGAAGATTGCTTGAAGCCAGGAATTTGAGACCAGCCTAGACGAGACTCTTGTCTCTACAAAACAAATTTTTTTAAATTAGCCGGGCTGGTGGTGCATACCTGTAGTCCCAGCTACTTGGGAGCCTAAGGTGGGAGGATCACTTGAGCCAGGGCAGATGAGGCTACAGTGAGGTATGATTGGACCACTGTGCTCCAGCCTGGGCAGCAGAATGAACCTTATGTCTAAAAAAACAGTACATTTTCAAAATAGAAAGAAGGAAAATTACTCATCTTTAGCTAATTTCTCTCTTTTTTTTTTTTTTTTTCTTTTTTTGAGATAGAGTCTCCCTCTGTTGCCTAGGCTGGAGTGCAGTGGCGCAATCTCAGCTCACTGCAGTCTCCACCTCTCCAGTTCAAACGATTCTCCCACCTCAGCCTCCCAAGTAGCTGGGATTACAGGCACCCACCTCCATACCTAGGTAATTTTTGTATTTTTATTAGAGATGGGGTTTCACCAGGGTGGTCTCAAACTCCTGACCTCAGGTGATTTGCCTGCTTCAGCCTCCGAAAGTGCTGGGATTACAGGCATGAGCCACTATGCCCAACGAATTTCTCATTTTTAAAAATGCATTTCTGACAGTACCAAGTAAATGCTGCATTCAAGGATTTTCCCAAATTTATGTGAGTACTTTTATAATCTGCCATTTTGGGTTTTTGTAAACCAACAAAAACTCAGAAAGGGAGCACCTTTCAAAATATTGAAAGCTGCCACCAATAGTTTTATATATCTGTTGATGTCTGCCGTGGCAGTCTGTAAACAGGTGTATTTTTATATGCATGGTGTATTTTTGTGAAGTAGAAGAAACTCGCTTGGTTTCATAGGTTTCCTTCACCAAATTGTTCTAAAGAGTGTTTCTTGTATAAATGAAATTTAGATGGTCAGTTACTCCATCAATGTTCTATTCCTTACCTCCCCCATCCCTAGTCACATGTCATATCTTTTATTGCCATTTTTGTCTCACAGGGGAAGTCCACAGTATGTTTTGCAAAGCCAGTTTAGATGAAAAGCAAAATCTGGTTGATCGCCGCTTACAAGTTAATAGGAAAAAACAAGTGAAAATGCACCGAGTGTGGGTTCAAGGCAAATTCCAGAAACCATTGCACCAGACTCAGAATAGCTCCAATATGGTATCTACACTCCTTTCTCAAGACTGAACTTTGTAACATGTTAAGGTACAAAGCCAGAGGACTGCTATTCAAGGACTACTATAAGTCTTTCGTTTCTCAAAAGACAATGAGAAAAAAAGAAGAGAATTTGTGTTTCCTGCTGTTTTGTCATAGGTGAGCTCCTTTGTACATTTTAAGCACATGTAAGTGGTTTGGCACAGTGTGCCTTTTTCTGTGCTTTGAAAACTTGATATGCCGAGCTTGTTTGAATTTATTACATCTAACCATTTTGCTTATTTCTTGAATTTTATAAGCATTCAATTAAATTAGTATTATGTCAGGTAATTTTGAGAAATCGTAACTTGACATTTTTTGCAAGTAAAAAAAATTGTTTATTTGTTTGGGCTTAGAAAACCAGTTCCCAAACACAGTCTGACTCTTCCCATTGTCATCTGATTGCAGAGAGAAAGCCCACCTTGTTTCCAGGGAAAGCTACAACAAGCCCAAAGTCAAAGTGTATTATTTTTTGTCTTGTTGTTGTCTATTTTCTCCCACTTTTTTTTCTTTAATTCAGGGGCTGACACCTGAAATCGAATTTTAGTTCCTCCTCTTTCCTTTCCTAAAATTGGGGAAGTATAGCCCATCTAACATTATTTTCAGGCTATTCTTAGATATACATGTTGTTAGGCCAGGTGCAGTGGCTCACACCTGTAATCCCAGCACTTTGGGAGATTGAGGCAGGCAGATCGCTTCAGGTCAGGAGTTCGAGACCAGCCTGGACATGGCGAAACCCTGTCTCTACCAAAAATACAAAAATTAGCCAGGCATGGTGGCACATACCTGTGGTCCCAGCTACTCGGGAGACTGATGTGGGAGGATCGCTTGAGCCTGGGAGGCAGAGGTTGCAGTGAGCTGAGATCGTACCACTGCACTCCAAACTGAATGACAGGGTAAGACCTCATCTCAAAATTTTTAAAAAAAAGATATGTAAGCTGACAAGCTCTTGTATCAGGGGCTTTTGACCGGAGCAACTTCATCTTGAGTAGGGACTGTGTAAAATGAGGCTGAGACCTACTGGGCTGCAATCCCAGGAGGTTAAGGCATTCTTAGTCAGAGGATGAGATAGGAAGTCAATACAAGATACAGGTCATGCAGACCTTGCTGATAAAACAGGTTGCAGTGAAGAAGCCGGCCAAATGCCACCAAAACCAAGATGGCAATGAGAGTGTCCTCTGGCTGTCCTCACTGCTACACTCCCACCAGTGCCGTGACAGTTTACAAATGTCATGGCAACATCAGGAAGTTACCTATATGGTCTACAAAGGGGAGGCCTGAATAATCCATCCCTTGTTTAGCATATAATCAAGAAATAACCATAAAAATGGGCAACCAGTAGCCCTTGGGGCTGCTCTGCCTATGGAGTAGCCATGCTTTACTTTTTTTCTTTTTCTTTTTCTTTTTTTTTTTTTTGAGATGGAGTCTCGCTCTGGCACCCAGGCTGGAGTGCCGTGACATGATCTCAGCTCACTGCCAGCTCTGCCTCCCGGGTTCACGCCATTCTTCTGCCTCAGCCTCCTGAGTAGCTGGGACTACAGGCGCCCACCACCATGCCCGGCCAATTTTTTTTTTTGTATTTTTAGTAGAGACGGGGTTTCACCATGTTAGCCAGGATGGTCTCAATCTCCTGACCTCATGATCCGCCGTGCCTTTGCGCCTCCCAAAGTGCTGGGATTACAGATGTGAGCCGCCTATACCTGGCCCTATTCTGTTACTTTTTTTTTTTTTTTTTTTTTTTGAGACGGGCTCTGCTCTGTCGCCCAGGCTGAGTGCAGTGCCGGGATCTCAGCTCACTGCAAGCTCCGCCTCCCGGGTTCACGCCATTCTCCTGCCTCAGCCTCCCGAGTAGCTGGGACTACAGGCGTCTGCCACCTCGCCCGGCTAGTTTTTGTATTTTTTAGTAGAGACGGCTTTTCACCGTGTTAGCCAGGATGGTCTCGGCCTCCCAAAGTGCTGGGATTACACGCTTGAGCCACTATTCTTTACTTTCTTGATAAACTTGTTTTCACTTTACTGTATGGACTCAATTCTTTCTTGCACAAGATCCAAGAATCCTCTCTTGGCGGCTGAATCCAGACCCTTTCTGGTATCAGTGGTAAGCTCTGTTTAAGACAACTGTCATACCCAAGAAAATTCTTAAATTGTGGCAGTTAAAAATGTATTTATCCCCTTGAGGGCCAGGTGCAGTCACTCAAGCCTGTAATCCCAGCACTTTGGGAGGCCAAGGAGGCGGATCACGAGGTCAGGAGTTCAAAACCAGCCTGACCAACACTGAAAAACCCCATCTCTACTGAAAATACAAAAAAAATTAGTCAGGCGTGGTGATGGGCACCTATAATCCCAGCTACTTGGCAGGCTGAGGCAGGAGAATCACTTGAACCCGGGAAGCAGAGGTTGCAGTGAGCCGAGATCAATCACACCACTGCACTCCAGCCTGGGTGACAGTGCAAGACTCCGTCTCAAAAAAAAAAAATTTATTTACTCCCTTGCTTCAAAAAGGACATAAGTTGACTTGCAAATCACATTTTGTAGAAATGAAGTTTTTAAGATTGGTCTCGTACTCATTACATAATATTTATTGACTACTTACATATTGAGTGCTGAATTCTATGCAATAATACAAACAATAAAGACCCAGCCTTGTTTATGCTCTTCAGGGAGCATAAATAGAGTCCAGCTGGCAAAACAAAATGTGTATATCCCAAACCTGTAAATCATGATCTAAGACAATATACAAACAAATACTCAAATAGGGAACTTACAGCAGACTTTGATTATGAATCACAGAACCTAGAAGAAATGAATACTCTCTTGAAAGAACCATCATTGGAATAATTCAGTTCCAACTGTTTTTTCTTTCTGAATTCACTTAAAATCCAATTTTCTAGAAGAATATCATTGGTCCAGCTTTAGTCATTGGTTCATCTCTTAACAGGCTGGGGCAGGGCAGCTTAATTGATGGTGCCACCAGAGTGGGCAACATGGCGAAAACCCTGTCTCTACCAAAAATACAAAAATTAGCCAGGGATAGTGGCACGCACCTGTGGTCCCAGCTACTCAGGAGGCTGAGGTGGGAGGATCTTTTGAGCCTGGGAGGCAGAGGTTGCAGTGAGCTGAGATTGCACCACTGCACTCCAACCTGGAATGGAAGGAAATTTCACTTCCTGGAATGGAAGAAAGTTCTTCAAAGGAAAATGAAGACACTGCTATCAAAAAAAAAAACGGGAGGGATGCTGTCCAGTCACACCCAACACACCCTATAGCAGTGGTAGCGGTAGTAATAGTGGTTCCAGAGAGAGAGAGAGAGATCAGCTCTGAAAAAGAATGGAAAAGAATCAGGTTTCTTGGGGGAGGTAGGTCTTAGGCTAGTTCTTGAGTCTACGTTCTCAGCAGATGGTGAGAAAACAAGTGTGGTGTGGGATATTAATGATGAGGAATAGGTAGAAAAGACGGGGAGGGGGTCATCTTGTTGATAACCTAGAATAGCAGGTATATTGACTTCTCGTCTCTGAACTGGAGCCATCTGAGATCAGTTTGTTTTTGCTTTATCCTAGACATGGTGTCTTATAAATGTATTGAGAGAGGTTGAGGAGTTGTCTATAGAATGGAATGGAGTGAGGTCAGAGATCAATGGCAAGGAAGAGCACATAAAGGTTTTTCCACAAACTTGCCTTGATGGCAAGTCCGCAAAAGTACAGTTATCAAGCTTTCTTGTGAAACATGGATAAGTCAGTAAATATAAATGTTAAAATTTGCCCAAGACTCTTAACTCAGTTGTATTTCATAATTAAAGTGTACATTAACAAGCCAAACTAGTCATGAAAGTATTACATACAATAAGGGTAGTTTAGATAAGTTAATGTTGCTATGGGAACCCCAGCAGATCTCCTTGTGTCTCCATTTAAAAATCATGGCCCAAGGTGGTTTTAAAAACAACAGAAGGTAAAATTATTCTCACATTCTCACACATGTAAATTGTACTGTCTCTCTCAGTTCTAAATAGCGGATTCAAGCCAGCCTCTTGACTGGCACAGTAAAATTCAGCTTCGTGTCTTTCTATAATGTATTACAGCATGTGAGTTAACCTTTAGAAGCTTCAAAAATACATCAACCAAATTTGGACTGTGAGACACAAACTGGTCTCTTTTGGGCTCTGTCCAGCATAGCCTTCCTATTCCACATGGCTGCGCAGCAGGGCCATTTCCACCAGTGTCTTCTGCTTGCCTGGTCAGTCTTTCTCTCTCTTAACCTACCTACAGCTTCCTTCTCAGGGTTTGCTGCTAGACGGAAGTGTAGATTTTGGCACAGAAAGAAAAGGGAAAGACCTATTTGGAATTTTGTCTATAGATGTTAAGAAATCATGAAGCGTTGCAAATGTAACTGCTTGGTATTAGTTTAAAATATTTGATAACTGCATGAAATTCTAATTTACCCCTCACATCCATAAAGCTAGGACAGCAGTTGGTTAGGCAGAGTTTGATACTTAAAAATTCATCTTCTGAGAGAGCTGAATTTCAAACGGACCATTTTCTTTCCAGCAGTAAAAGGTGTATTATTTCATCTTCTTACAATACAGAAACAATGGAATATATTGTTTAAATGCACCCTTCATTTTTTTTCTCCATTTCTAAAAATTCACTTTTGAGCATCGTCCAAATGTAAAAATTCTCACACATGAGGAACTATTTCCAAAGGTTGTGAGAAAGTTAAGATAACAGTTTCTATTATTAAAAGTTTTGCATTCGGTATGACACATTTGCCTGTATTGAAACACCCATTTAACATTGACTTCTGAGAACTTATTTGCTTTGCCTCTCTCGGTTCCATATGCTTTGTCTCCAAATTGTGAACACGTCCCTGTTTCTATCCGGGTGTGATCCTATGTCGTTGCTGTACTCTAGTTGGTACGTGAAAATTCACCCATATGCAGATAGCTGCCCTCTTGGAGGCAAAACTTAAAGCTATCAGAACCATCTGGATTGTTAAACCCCAAAACTTCCAACTCATCAAAGTCCTGAAGCCTGAATAGATCATACATTGTTACTTCTAATTGGTTTTGATGTTTGTTATGCTCCTCACAAGTGCAGATAACTTCACATTTGCATCGCTAATAGACCTCTTCAAAGCCTCTGCTCCTCCTGCTTCCTGCCTCTATTAGTCATCGGGAGACTCAGTGTTGGCGTGGGTATTTTCCCCGCTTGTGAAAGTGCACTGTCAATTCTAGAGCATTGAATATATGTGAGGTATTGTTATTAATCTACAAGGCAGTACACACAGTATTCCAGCAACAGAGACTTTTTCAAAGGTTTTATGAGACATTGTAAGAAAGACAGTGTCTTTCCATGGAAAAAAAAAGTGTTGCCTCAGAGT